AAAATATGGCTTCGATGGCAGGTTTTTCCGACTTCGGTGGAAGCTTTTCTGAATTCGGCATAAAATCCACCGAATCTAAGGCCACGGGATTCAGAAAATATATATATATGTATATTTGATATTACTCGTAAACGACAACACTTATAAAACCAATAAATTGTTATTATATTTTAGTCGTTACAACATACAGTATAAAAAATATTACATACAACCATAAAATTTAGTTTTTGAAATATCGTATACACCGATTCCAAAAATCAACCTGGGCCAAATCCACCGAGTTACGTATTTAGACGCAAAAAGTCCTAAAATCGGCAACAAATCGTCCCTCTGTTCTTTCCAGCTGCAGGGGCGTGATGAACGAACAATACGAACGTATTCCGAAGCTTCTAAAATATTTCACTTCTGCTGTGTAGCGTGATTAGTAACTACCACCGAATTCCCTCATAACCCTGACATACGCAGCAATCTTGGTTTTGTGATAAAACTATTGTCTAGTTTATTGTGAAATTCAGATTAGAAGTACTGTCATCTAATATGTTATACGTGAACTCAAGTCTAATATTGATATACGGTTTCAATTTTGAGAAAAATGACACTTTGTGTGGGATTCTGCATTCGGGACTCGTGTCAGATTTTAGGCCTTTCGGATTTCTTTTCGATTAGGTCCGAAAGGTTTATCGGGAAAATTTTGTGCTCTCCACTTAGCTGTCAACCTACACAGACTCTCTTTTTTTTTTGTAGATTTTTGTGTTGATATATAAGTGGGGTTTAGTGCATGGACACTGAAAATTGCAGCTTTGGAGAAATGCCCACACAGGAAATCATTTCTCGTTAAATAAAAATACGCGATATTTATTTCGTAAAATTATGACAACGACATCTATATGCACCTTGGCAACACTAACAGTTGACACTGGACTATAATTCCGGATTCACAACGTGACTATCAAGACAGCTTGTTTTATTTATTTTTCTTCATGAAAATAATTGAAAACTTTACATACTTTTTACATGTTTTTAACAGTTAAAATTCTCTGAATGTAAATAACTTTAAGTACTTAAACATTATACTACGATAAGACGATTCAGGATATGAAAAAAGAAAGAGATAGCATTATATAGTTCATATAGCTTTATTATTTTCCAATTTTTAGTAAGGAATAGACAATATTGGGAAATCATTCGTTCTTTCAATCACTTTAGCAATAATACATTACTTGGTTGACAGGTTTGTCATGGTGCTAATATGAGTAATATTATAATAAGCTTACTTTAAGCTTACATTGAAATAAGATTGTTTTTGGAAAGGTTATGGTAGGCCCCGTGATCAAGTCCTAATCATGTCTTGATGAGAAGAGGCGGCATGACCCAAGAAGTCAATGACTATTCTAAATCCATGTAGACACTGAACGAAAATATCCATTTTTCAAATTTAAACTCACTTTCATAAACTATAAACACAATTTCCCAAAAAATTACTTTTCCGTTTACTAATGACATTGAATGAATGAACGAATGAATGGTACCTATAATGGTATTGGGTTTAACGTGCGATATTCATACAGGAGAACTAGAGAAGCTTCTCGATATCTGAGTGACATTCGATACGCAGAAAATTTATTATATACATATAAGTACTCAGCCAGTACTTTGCTGACTGAGTATATACATATATGTATATAATAAGATAAAACGTGAATTAATGTGTTATCTTATTAGCGTCATATAGTATTTGCAAAGTTCTTTGACGAAGGCACAGTCAACTTTGGCCAACGTTTGAATTAAATTAAAATCACGCAGACATGTCAAAAACAAATGAAGGCACAATATGCGCGCAATTCTATTAACACAGTACAGTTGAGCGAATCCGTAAAGGTAACAAACACTCTCTGTAGTATGTATATATGTACATAAGTAATTAGTATTTTTATTTGTTATTATTGTCGAATAGAGTAGCCATTTGTTAATTATTATTAATCAATAATATCATTGTTATTGTTTTATATAAGTAAACGGAAATGCTGTATTATTTTATTGGCACAATCCTATAAAAATAACTGTACGTGAAAAATAAATTAACAAATTTCTACTTTAACATTGTAGCGGTTGCCGTTTTTTTGAGTACATGATTAAAAATGCGCATACTTGTACGATAAATCTTGAATCTGATAGACTTAATAATAACTTTCAGTAAAGAAAGAACGATAGAAATGTAATCCCCATTTAAATGTAAAACGCTTTCAACACAACTTTTTTTTTGCTTTAGTCTCGCTGCTTCATAGCTTTAGTTTCAAAGAAAGGAAATAATTTTGGCGGTCATATTAAAAGATGGCGAAAAAATGTTTACCTCGAATTACAATATAATAAAATTACAGGCACAGGGATTTGTCACCTTATGTCTCAGGGTGACGGGCCCAGTGGCATTGCCTCTCAGATCTTTGCGGTTTAAAGCTCTGAGTGGCACTGCAACTGTTATGGACAGGCGTGTAGCTTATACATATACTATATATATGTATATATATATATATATATATATATATATATATATATATATGTATATGTATAGAGGACTATAGAGGACAGAAGAAGTATGTAAATTTCAGCCCGACCTGAGCAAATTTTTTTCATTGCCACTGTAAATTTGCTACCTCGAATTTATTTTCACACATAAACGCACACACTCAACATACACATACTTGACTTCTATCGCCTTCTATAAGATTCCTTTCAGCCCCCTACTTAATAACCTAACCCTGTATCGCGGGTGCCATGGACACACACTTAGACAACCACAAATTACACCCAAACTCACGAAAGAAATAAATGTAGGTATAAATAAATATTTCTCCCGGCCTGGGAGTCGAACCCGGGACCTCTGCGTGGCAGATCAGTAGGTATTCGGCCACGGAGGCACTTACATCTATACTTCGATTTTTTAACATTACAAAGAATGAAATTCTTAATTTTTACCAGACGCCATTTCATTAATTCATTTTGTAAGCAAAACAATGTAATGAATAATGTAAAACAAAATTCCCAAAGATATTTACTGTTTCTACGTAATTATTACGTTATTTTTTACTCGAAGTATTCAGTGCCTGTATTTATTTATACAAAAACGAAATCCTTTTAACTCCAGTCAAAAGCAAGTGGTGCTTAACATTCACAAATTAGTTAAAGAAAACAATGTGGCCTAAAAACTAGTACTCCAGTAAACCGGCTATTTATAGTGTCGAAGATAGTTGAAAATGCAGGAATCTCTCGTGTGGCGCGAGATGAGTACAACAAAAGAAAAGAAGCAGCAGAGCTCCTTGTGAAGGAGTTCCTCCAGATTAGTATTGCCACCTTATCAATTTATGCCGTCAAGCAATAATGCGAGCATTACTTACTGCGTTCCGAATTTGAAAGGTAAAGGTGCTGGTGTAATTACAGGCACGTGAGACTTTCCAACTCATGTGTCAGGGTGACGGGCGCAGTGGCAGTGCCCTTTGAGCGGCACTGTTGCTGTTATGGACAGGCGTGACGCTTACCATCAGGCGCACGACTTGTTCGTCCCATCACTAAGTTATCATAAAAAAAGAAGGCTAGAGGCGATGTAAAGTTTCCACCTACTTCTCAAAGGAAACCTCACAAGTTTGGCGATTTAAATAAGATAATGTTGAAGAGGATCCGAAGGAAAGTTCGTAAGTTTTTCTTTAGTAATAATATCCGTACTCTTGATAAAGAATTGGTAGAAATCAATAGTCATGAAAATTTAGCATACGTGTCACAAAATACTACACGAAAATAAATATATAATACACGAAATTTACAAGATTCTCTCTATACATACTGAAATCAAATATGTCACGCTAGACCGAAAAAGCTTGGAAAAAGCGCATTCATAGATAGAAATGAGATTGTTCTGAGGAGACTCCATTATTTAAATGAAATAAGGAATTACAGAAACAAGGCGAGGAAAATTTATAATTCAGGTGACACCTGAGTGAATGAAGGCATGTATCAGCCGTATAAGTAAACTTTAACAGTGTTTTAGGTTTTTTGTGGTACTGTAAACTTATCATTTGTCGAGCAAATAATATGTTTAATGAATACAATGTATTTATTTTATAACAGTGCATACAAAATCTTCAGTTTGGTAACATATCCAAATAAAGTCCAAAAATAAACTCACCGCGAAAGTATGTCGACCATATACAACAATTATAAAAAAACCGACCTCAAAAGTTCGTGGAATTACATCTATTTGCCAAGTTTTATTGAAATCGGTTACCGGAAAGTCCACCAAATCGGATTCATCCCCTAGTTTGCCACCCTTAGAGGTGGAATTCCTTCAAAGTTAAATGGGACCAATACTGAGCTACCCTCTTTCCAACAAAAAAAGAATTATCAAATCAGTTCACAAATGCTGAAGTTATCGCTTAACATATACACAAAAAATACCTTTTTTTGAAGTCGGTTACAATTACGAGAAAGGAAGATAATTAAAAATTAATTTAGGGAAATGAACATCGCTTTCCAAGAACAAGAAGGGATTGAGAGTGTGAGCTTCAACTGTTGCAGCTGAAGTCAAAGAACACAAACAGTGCATCAAAAATTATATCATTTATGCTGCCGTCAAAGTTCCAGGGTACAAAAACCTACGGTTACTAAAACCTCTTACCAATCAATATACGGACATAGCAACGCCGAATACATTTAAGATGATATCAATAAAAAAAAAATCAAGACTAACAGCATACAATGGATTGACCTAGAAAAAATGTTGAGCCTGGAAACTTTAATACCCTTGACAAAATAACACACACGTGGCACGTGTATCACCATGTGGCTAGGAAAAAAGATTATGGAAATTCGCTATATCAATGTACAACAATGTACTGTCAAAAACGTCACTGTCCTATTCATCAACAAAACAATGACGGCCCATTGCGCAGCTCATGGCTTTGGATGGAACGAAATAGGCCTTATTTTTTTACATAATTTTATCTACTTACCAAAAACCTGCAGTATATGTGTCTGTGTAATCATAGGCTCCGTGTTGATCTGACACATGTAGCGCCCCCCGTCCGAAGGGCGCACATCACGAAGAGTCAGCGACCAGGTCTGAGAGTCACTCCTGGAAACACCAACTCGGTGGTTTTTTGTGATGACATGCGGACCGATTGTGAGGATGGTCTGTGTGTCCACTCGGAGCCAAGCCACCTGTCAAAATTAATATGATATATTCAACCCAACGTATTTAAATTTCTTACTTATATTGCATAGATCAGTTTTTTCTTAAAGTGGAGATCATACAATGATAAGAGAAAACTTATAGGCACTTCACTCTTATAAATTCGTTCACCTTGTTATTTAATTTTTGAAAGAGTTTGTCCAGGGAAATACTGCCACCTTAACTATTTCTGCCGCCAAGCAGTAATGTTGGTATTACTGTGTTCCGGTTTTGAAGGATAAAGGTGCTGATGTGTATGTACTACAGGTACATGGGATTTGTCAATTTATATCTCAGCGCGACTGATTTGAAGCTCTGAGTGGCACTGCAACTGTTATGGACAAGCGTGTGTAACAAGTTTACCATCAGGTGCGCGATTTATTGGTCCCGTCACTTGATATTATAAAAAAAAATCTTTAAAGAATAACGTTTAATATATAAGGTTTTTTTTGTAATTTTTAATATCAACGTCCAGTTAAAAACGCACAGACCTTACAGTGACGTTGTTGTTCTCTTGTTTCATTATTATATTGATACCATTGTCAATATTATGAATTTATATGAAAATTATAAATGTAGGCAATTAATAAACAGTCGAGCTGCAAAACCGCATTAATAAAAAATACTCGTAATTTCTATTATCTACGCGTAATATGTAACAAAACACAACACATAAAAAAAGTATTATTTATACAGCATAACCAGTGGCTGAGTGTACTGTCACCTATTTAGCAATTGTCGTATGGGATACTCAATAATAAAGTACGTAAATAAGTGTTATGTTTCATAGGTACATAGTACATAGGTAGTTGGTGATATTTGTCAAACAAATCAGGCGACTAAGGAGCTCAAAATCAAGAGGGTTCGCCGAGTCAACGGAACGCAGGGCGGAGGAAATTGCGTACTTTGCACAGTATCATGTTTTATGTCTATACGGTTATTCATATTTTGCAATTTTGCAGACTTTGGGACTCGAGAATTGCCAACTCGCTGCGGTATGAAATCTTATATGACACACCCTGATGTCCCAAGCCGAATGAAATGTTGTAAATTGTATATTAAATTCTGTACTGAGTTTAGAAAATTCGATCTGTTTTGCAGGCACGGTATTGCCGCTTAAACCGCTGTATCTACTAATTGTTTATCAAACTTTTGACAGTATTTTAATTTGTTTTCAAACAAATTTGCGAGTATCTCGGCAAGTAACAAGTTTTATTGTAAATTGTATTGTTTAGAGTATTTTTAAACGATGTTGACACTGACCGTACGAAGAGACGAGTCAGTATTAACAACAGGTGGGAGTACAGTGCCCTAAGTGTAATTGTAAATCCATTTAGACTACACTGAGATTGTATTACAATTATGATAATCTTTGTTATTCTGCTGAACTCTAGTTGCAATGGCAATTGAATCTCACTAGTGTGCCAGTGGAATGGCTTCATTCATTCAGTTTGTTTTGGTGAAATCACAAGCACATGAGACTTGTGAACTTATGTCTCAGAGTGACGGGTGCAGAGGCAGCGTCCCTCAAATTTTTGCGATTTAAAGTTCTGATTGGCAATGCAACTGTTATGGACAGGCGTGTAGCTTACCACAAGGCGCACGACTTGTCCGTCCTGTCACTTGATATTATAAAAAAAAATCAAAATTGTCTTACGAAAATTACCGTGGTAATTACTATGCATATCTTGATTCTTACCTACAATTATTTCTCTCGTGAGTTTGGGTGTAATTTGTGGTTGTCTATGTGTGTGTCCATGGCACCCGCGACACAGGGTTTCCCTAGTGCGGGGCTATGCTGATCGTGTGCGTTATTTATTTATTATTTATCTCGTTTACGAATATAAGCAATTTAATCTTCAAATGAAAAGCAATTGCTAATGGCAAATCATTAGTAGACTACACCATCGATGTGCTGTCGATTCGCTATTGAAAAGCAGAATACCAAAAAATTGCAATGGCAATTGAATAGTAGCTCGATGGTTAGCTACTGACAAGCCACTATTCTTAACTTGTAGCAGAATACCAAACGTTCGTAGCATTTTTGTACAATGTTTATGGAAAACATTCTACACGTACCACTTACGTTACACCACTTCAAATTCCTACTCAGGTATGTTTTAATTAAACTCCTAACAATTTTAGCGGAATATAGTAGCACTATTAGCTTATTGTGAAAGAGTTTATCCTGAGAAATACGGCGATATTTCCCAGGTTAAACTTTTTCACAAAAGGTGGCAACCTATCCTACTTCCATGAAACAGTATTATTAGTTATTATTACTGCGTTGCAATGTTGAAGGGCTGTTCGTGAAACTACAGGCACATGGGACTTGTTAAGTTTGTGTCTCAGAGGCAGTGCCCCTCAGGTCTGTGCGATTTATAGCTCTGAGTGGCCTTGCAATTGCAATTGTTACGGGTAGGAGTGTCGTTTACCACTAGGCGCACTGCATGTTCGTCTTGTCACTTGATATCATAAAAAATCTCAATCCCTTGAACTTTGCATGTCACATGATTCTGATTACCTAGTAATTTCCATGGTAGCGTACAGTGGCACTCTCTCATTCACCCCACATGCAGGTGCTTACGCATCAGAATTACAGTCAGTTCCAGAGTGCGATCCCTTCCTTGAAAAATAGTGGAAGGTTTCAGTGCTCATATTTTTATTTACTATATGCTTGTAAGTATTTGTTTTTGCTGATATAAAATGTATTTAAATTACATTACACAGTTTAGTAAACAAAAATTCGTATTTTTTAAAATTAATTTTTAACAAATATAAAAGGTATGCCATTGGAGTATTTCCCAAAACATATCGAATTTGTTAAACATCGCGCCACGGTAGCGGCCCGCGCAACTGTGAGGTAACAATACTTTGAATGTGAGGCCGGCCGGTGGGCCTTTCTAAATACAGCGTAAGTTTCATTTTACATTTCCTATCAAAATTTTTAATCGTTTGTATTAAGTTTAATCGCAATTTATCCTTTATACTTTCACAGACAAATATACACTTTTTTGTCGAATAGGACGAAATGGTGACTTTGATAATGGGCTTTATTGTGTTCAGGCGTATTTTAAAAATGGAATCAACTTATGTACAATACAGTAACAATTTATAAAGCAAACGTAATTTATTAGCAGTAGAGCTCCTTGTGAAAGTGTTTGCCCAGGTAAGCACTGCCGCCTTACTTACTTCTGCTGGCAAGCAGTAAATGTGAGTATTGCTGCGTTCCGGTTCGGAAGGGTTAGGGTGATTATGAAATTACAGGCGCTTGGGACTTGTCTACTTATGTCTCAGGGTAACAGGCGCAGTGGCAGTGCCCCTAAGATCTTTGCGACGTAAAGCTCTGAGTGACAATGCAACTGTTATGGATAGGCGTTTCGCTTGCCACCAGACGCATCACTTGTTTATCCCGTCACTTGGTATTATTAAAACAAAAAGAAAAATTGACTTAATCTTCCTACATTTTGGTTTTGAACTGTTACAAAAGAATATTAATAATAATAATAATAATAATAATAATAATAATAATAATAACGTTTATTCCTCCACAAAAATACGTACATATAGTTCTTAGTAATTTAAGATATATGCAATAACTTATTTTTGGGAGCTGGTGCTTGTTAAAGGCTTAACGCGTGTACTACAAGTTACCAGGCTCTCACCCTTGGAAATGACACATGACAATCTTAAGGTATTACTAAATTGATATAATATTGACTGACATATTCTAAAATAAACGACACTATATCGCAAATATTTTATAAATTCTCTTCTTTTGTTTTATTTTTAAATTTTTACGAGTATTGTACATAGGAAGCACTATAAATTTCCGAAACTGGCCACTTACATAAACAACATTTAAAAAGTAATTACAACATTTGAAAATGGAACTATTTGGCTGTAGAATACAGTATGTTTCATCTGACTGTCACTTGTTTTTACATTGTGGCGTCATTTCACAAATTGGTTGTTTACATCACCGTCAATTTACTCGTGAAAATTTTCGTAGTATGATTTTCTACCACTTTAATTGTAATTTAACAGCTCAGCGGAGCTTGGCTTGGCTTCAAACTGCTTTTGGCGATGAAGCACCATGCAAGACTATTTATAGCTGGTTTGCAGAATTCATACGCGGTCGTGTGAATCTCAGTGACGAATTTCGTGATGGTCGCCCGTCCGCTGCTGTGAACAACAAAAACATCGATGCTGTGCGCCGTACGATCAAAACAGACAGGCATGTGATATACCATGACATTCCGGTATCTTTAGGCCTAGGCATGAGTCAAATACCTACAATCAATACTACACAAACATTTGGGTGTGAAAAGTGCGTTCTCGGTGGATCCCACACAATTTGACTGAGGCTCAAAGAACGGATCGCGTCACATGGTGCAATACCATGCTTACCAGATTCAACTAAGGGATGTCAAATTTGGTGTGGGACATAGTAACAGGTGACGAAACATGGATTTATAGTTACGATCCTAAAACAAAGCAGCAATCGAGCGTCTTTCGAGATGAGCCGAAACCAACCAAAGTGGCGCGCGTGCTTCTAAAAAAAAAGTGCTTCTAAGCCGATAATTGCTTCTTTTTTTTTAAACTGGACCCGTGGCTACTATTGCTTTGGAGAATCATTGTACCGTGAATAGTGATTGGTACACGACCACTTGTTTGCCGGAAGTTATTGACAAACTCCGTAAGAATAACCGTAAACGCCGTATAATCTTGCACCACCAGTTCTCACACGGCCAGACAGAGAAATGAATTTTTGAAGGTGAACAACGTTGACCTTATGAGCCATCCGGCGTACAGTCTGCCAGGTGACTGGCGACTTTTATTTATTTTCAAAAATTAAGAATACGCGGTCAACGATTTTCATCACCTGAAGAGGCTGTCGAAGAGTATGAAAAATATGTTTCAGAGATTGTCACAGAGGAGTGGCATAAATGTTTTTAAAATCGGTTCATTCGAATGAAAAAGTGCATTT